TAACCAAAGAAATGAAAATAATCATTTTGTTGCAATGGGATGTTAGTTGGTAAATGTTGCCAAAGCACTCTTGAGACTCTCACAGGATTATAATGCATATGTTTGTAGAGGAGCGATGTTAACAAACCGATGCCCTAGTGCTACATCCAAGGGTTGCTGTTATAGTGCTCTGAATTATTTAAAGTATAAATGTGTAAAGATGCCTTTTCAGACTCCCTACAGACTCAAATTGGGTGTTATTGCTGCTGTTGCTGCTCCTCTTTTATGTGCTTTTTTCCAATAGATTATTTCAAAGTACATTTCTATTAACTGCATAAATCTTGCTGTGCTCCTAGGCGTTGTATTTTATGGTTGCATGATATTTATAGAGGATCAGACTGGGGCACATAGAGGTCATTTGCTTGACTCTCTAAAGTAACTTCCATTGAGGTTAAGTCGGCCTCGCATCCTGAAGGGAGACTGCAGGACTTGGTAAAAACAAAGCCACAAATGACTCATATCCATCCCCAAGGCATGACAACTTAGTCCAATACCACTTAAGAGAAATACTCCTTGGAGCCTTTTCACAACTAAACCCAAATCACTGTGTTCTTGCTTGCTTCTGCAGCACAGAAAATAGTACTGAAGCACTGCATTCTGGCCCTCACAGGTCCCCCACAGCTGTTTCTATCCAGGCATGGTGATTTGTAGAGGTATCACAATTTACTACTCTTTCAGCTGTTGTGTTTCTTGGAATCACCAATTTCAGAAGGAAAAGCAAAAGGCTGTGTACAGCAAATGTTGTCCTGATGGCTCATGTTGGCTCTTTGTTTGGACTTCTCAATAGAAGAGAAATAGGAAACTGTCATTCCTGAGGTTCTTTCCTTCCTGAGGTTCTTTCCTTCCAAGGGCTATTTCTGCATTATTAATTCTGCAACTAAAGCTACAGAATAGAAAGTTAAAATGAATGCCTTATGCCATAGGAGCACAGTCAGCTGTAGCATCCCTCTCAACCTCCTCAGTGACTCCTCCATTGAATCCTTGACTCTTGTTATGTGAGTAGGTATTTGCAAACATGGGAGGGGTTTTGAGTGTTAGCAGTCAGACTGGCAATAGCCCTTTAGGTGCACTTCTGTGATGCTGTCTGAACTCAAGTGCTGGGTAACTGACAGATTTGGCTTCCCTGAGTGTGGATGTGTTTTTATAACGAGATTCAGATGGGCTGTTATTCAAGGATCCACTTTAGCAAAGCTTGCAACTGTGAAGTGATGTTAATGCAAATGAGTCATGTTATTACCTATATTGCAATAACACAGGATGCCCTTCCTATTTGTGACAACAATGTGCATAAAAATAAGCAGCCCAATAAGTGAGCTATAACTAGGTTATGAGAGAACCGGGGTTGTTCAGCCTGGAGAAGAGAAGGCTCCTGGGAGACCTTATTCTGCCCTTCCAATACTTAAAGGGGGCTACAGGAAAGATGGGGACAAACTTTTTAGTGGGGCCTGTTACAATAGGATAAGAGGTAATGGTTTTAAAGTAATAGAGGGTAGATTTTAGACTAGATACAAGGAACACATTTTTTTATGATGAGGGTAGTGAAGCACTGGCACAGGTTGCCCAGAGAGGTGGTCAATGCACCATCCCTGGAAGTATCCAAGGTCAGGTTGGACGGGGCTCTAGGCAACCTGATCTAGTTGAAAACATCACTTGCAAGGGGATTTGGTCTAGATGACCTTTAAAGGTCCCTTCCAACCCAAACTATTCTATGATAGGTGAGAGGACCACCAAACACCTGTGTGTGTGTTACATTGTGCCACATTTTCTGTATTTAGCTGTGCTAGGGAACCCTTTTTCACTCCCTTGGCTCAGTCTGCTCTGTGATTAACCAAGCAACATCTCATCTGTGTGTGAATAATCACAAATACTGTGAAAGAATGAAAGCCGTTGTGCTGGTGTCAAACTCTGATGGCAAGCAATTTTGGAGTGGTTTCCAGAATTGTAATCGTTTCAGTCATTTCAAAAGAGGTTAAAGTAGTTGTTAAAAAGAAAGCACCTCATCATCCTGGGAAATAGAGGCATTCTTGGCCTTCAGTCAGGCGTTCGTCTTCAGAGCTAGTGACACATTTATGTGATTATAATGCCAAATGACTTTTCTGTCCTTCTCTGTTTGTATAATAGATGAGATGTGGGTGTTTTTTAGGATGGAAGGAATAAGGGAGGATGGGATATTTACATTTCAAATACGGGAAATTGCAAAAATCCCTCATTAGTAAAAAACCCCACCAAACCCAGGAAAACCAAATTGCGATTTTAGCATCAAAGGTGTTAAGTTTAAGACAGGTTCTTACATCAGACTTGGGCAAATGTAGCTGTCCGATTTCTTGGCCAACCTGGGGCACATCAATTCCCGCTGGAGCTATTATGTGCCTGTTTTCTGCTGATTTTGTCAGTCTACTCAAAGGACAGGTAAAGCTATTCTGAAGCCAGCTGAAATACGTCCAAAACCTGCCATCAGCTAAACCAGTGCAAATCATATTTGGTCAGGTATACTCCAGATCTACAGGGAAACTGAGAGCAGAATCTGGCCCAGTGTATTCCATCTGTGCAGTGCAGTATTACTCATACAGGTCTCTTGATGCTCTTCCTGAGTGTTCTGATTGAGTTAAAATCACTATCAGAATTAGTTGTCGTGGTGTTTCCTTTGTTGTATCTATTTCACAAGCATTTTGCATTTTTAGGGTGAACACAACAATTCAATAAATTGTTTAATGTCCCCCCCAAATTTGTTCAAACATTTTAATGGGGAAAAAAATCTGAAATTTAAGGATTTTACAACACACACGTTTAAATTTTGATTTGTAAACCTGGCAGTCAGTCTCTACCATTTAAAAACATGCATAGTTTTTTTTTATATCGCTTCAAAACGCCAGGTGTGTTATTACCTCACTGGTCTGTTTTGTCAGCGCGTACCAGGCCCCGGCTCTGCCGCAGTCAGGGAACTTGCCTTTGCATCTGTCGAGGCCTGATCTAGGAAGTGGTGCCTGATAAAGAGTCTGAGTGACAGTCCAAAACTGTTCGTGCAGCAACCTTTAAATGCTTGGAGAGACTTTTCTTTTGTGTTTTAACTGCACAGTTTCAATTCCAAGAATCCTGTTTTCTACACTAAACAATGTTCAGGGACAGAAAAAAAGGAAGTCTAAATTTGTAGGTAAACCCGGACATTCAAGTGCTGAAGTTCCTCAGAGTAAGTTATATTGAAAAGCTGTATCCTTGAGAGATTTTCCATTGAATTCATGTTGTAAAGGATGGACTATTCTTTCAAAAATCAAATGATCTGGAAATACAGAAGAGTTATCATTGAATTTCTCTTTCTTTTTAATGAGTGTGCCAGCCTGGATGTGGCCCTGCCCAACCTGCTTTAGCTCACCCCACTTAAGCAGGGAGGACTCAGTCTCCAGAGGAGCCTGCCAACTTCAGCTGCCGTGTGATTCTCTGCATTTCAGCGAGATTTACACCCCATTTATGCTTGGCTAGTGGACCAAATAAAATGAATACTCTAGCATAACTTTGTCCTAAACCATGTATTACAGGTTTATGAGTTAATATAAATAAATGCAAGAGAAAGAATGATTCATCTCTCACTCCTTGAGAAACTGTAATATTTACACTAGATAGGCTGTCAGTATAGACTAAGATATTTCCCATATTGGTACCTAGTTCTTGGCACCTTTTTTTATTAATTCCCTTTACAGCACAGAAACAAATCTTGAAATTTTGAAATGGCACTTTGCTTAGCATGAGAATTAAGCTTCAGTGCCCTTAGGTGGAAATAATTGGTGTAGCTTTATGATACTCAGAAACTAGTGAGAATTGAATATTTTTGCTCTCAGAAAATTTATCCTGTTTTTATCATCAAACAGTGAAAAATGAGAAAGAATAAAGATCTACATTGTCAAAAAATATTTCTATATACGTAAGTATATACCCAAATATATATCTCTCTCCACTACAAATGTAGTGCTAGTTAACAACGGTAAAATTTTATATTACCAATGTGTTCATAACTTTGGTAGTATTTAGACAATATTTCAGGATATTGTCCTGAAACAACAGTATGTTCTTATATGCTCCTTATTAAATGAGCCAAATAAATTAAACCAATTTTATGTTGCAAAAAATCGCTCCTGTCAAGGTCATGAGAGAGAGATTATAATAAAAGGATAAGAAGAGCTGGCTGGATTTTTAGATTACAAAGTAACTTTTATGTGTGAAATTACAAACTTGGGTGGGACTTGTAGCAGCCACAACCAATTCAGTCTCAGTTCTACTGAAGTTTTACAATCAAAACCTTACTCTTTTGACAGCCTATTCTTCCTATTCCGTATGCGTGATTTTTCCCTCCTTTTGACAATAGTATACGGTTATGCACAATTTCTAACTAACACCTATAGTCACTCCCCTTTGAATGGATTTTTCATACAAGTACAGTAAAATCTTTTTCGAAGAAAAGCATTTTCAGTTGACTGCAGTGAAGTCCTGTTACACAGTACAGGGAAGACTTAGTAAGACTTACCTTTTTTTTTTTTTTTTTTTTAGTGTATTGTTGAGAGACAAATATTCAATACTTCATTTAATGTACGGTTTGCAGTCAGTGGTTAATCTAAGACAATGCAGAGCGAGCCGTGTTTCACACCGCTATTAAGGAAATGCAGAATTGATTGTGAGGATGATTGAAGATTTCTGAAGAGCACAATTCCCAAGTACATGATGACCCCTTTTTTTTTTTTTTTTTTCTAATTTGCCCGCATGACTTTCCATTCTAATTCTGGTTTGTGTATGTTACAAATCTTTAAAAAAAAATTAATTAATTTTATTTAAGCAACACTAATGACAAACCAAAGCAATATTATTTCACATATGGCAACTAGAAGATCAGAAGGCAAAGCTAACCTTTATTGCATCTGTATAAAACATAAATTACGTATAAAATACATTTGTATAAAATGTTCTCCCTATTAACTCATCTTTCACTTCAAGCTGAACTAAGGACAGTGAATAGGTCTGATTCCTAGTCTCGTTCTTGCTATCAAAAAAAGTAGTGGTATGGAAGGTTACATGCATATGAGGAAAATCAAGGCTTTTTACTTTTAAAATTTTTGCTACTTTTATAACCTTTTTGATTGGAAGTTATTCTTGTGTTCATCATTTAAGATTTAATATAAATACCCCCTTCTGTTATAATGCTGTTATAGTACTCTTTCAAAATAGCCTCTCTTTTCCCTGTCCAGAAAGAAACTTCATTTATAATTATATCAGTGCATTGATTTGTTGTTGCTTTTTGAATTATTCTAGTTGATATTAGGTCAAGCATAAGTTCCTTCATGTGGAGAAGATACGCGAAAAAGCTACAAGGGCTGCCCTGCTGCTTTTTATCAATAACATAATAAATATTTGAGTACAGTAATTGTGATATCTCTTTTTCCCAGGACTATGGGATGGCAGCAATCTGTGGTGAATCCAGTGTTCTGCAATAATCTATTATCTTTCAGGTGAATGGTGCTGGAGGTGGAGAGAAAGAACAGAGACACCTGCAGGAGAATATATCAAGAAAAAGAGCAGCTTCTGCTGAGGAGAAGCAGATGTGACATGATGTAAGGTTGCTTTCCAGGTTGAAAATACCTTACCTAAAGATTTTCCTGAACAAAAGGTAATTTTCAAATGTAATTGGAGTAGCTAATGAATTGTTCTGGTGTTCTGCAGATATTCCATCCTTATCTGCAGAAGCATGTCTAAGAATCCATAGGCTTTCAGAATAAATGAAGACAGCATAAAAAAAAAAGGGCTTTCTTCTTGGGTTTGCACACACTGCTCTGTCTTCAAGCCATAAAAATAAGGATTAGCTATTCATGACATGAACAAAATCAGTGGGATTTTACTGGATGGTCTTAACTATGGTTAGGTTAGGTTTGACAGGTTTGTGTTTTTTCTTGTGGTTTCTTAAGTTAGATGGTCAAAGGACCTATTTGTGAGCTTTATTTCAGATCCAGCAGGAATATTATGAGAACAATTACTCTTATGAGATTTTAACTAAAAAATGGTAGAATTGTGCCAGAGGCTGATCCCTTGCAAATTCTAGTATCATGCGCTAAAGACTTTTGAGCTTTTGACATTATTGATTCTGAATCAAACTTGAGCTTTGGGTAATCTTTATTTTGATAGATGTAAAGCAAATTAATGAATTAAGTATTTAAGCATAAAATAAGTATTGTTATGTATCTGAGAAGAAACATAATACCATTTCTGTATTTTTAGATTTGTCTCAAAAAGGTTTTGTAAATGTAGGAGTTGAAAACATTAGGGATCATGAAGTCTTAATTAGGCATCAGAATTATTCTCACTTGTTGTAGTAAGTGCCAGAGGAGGTTGTTCTGTAAGAAAAGAGAGAAGTTTACCAGTGAGAACAGGATTTCGTACTATGACAACAATGACCGCTCACAACAAACGGAGTTCAGAAAAATCTTTATAGGTTCACGTCATGAGAATACACTGGGGAGGAGGCTCAGTTTCATAGAAGAATTGGATATTTTTTTAAGGAAAAACAGGCCTGTAGTCTTCCCAGCTGTAAATTTGGTCACAGTAGATATGACCTTTATAAATGGTGGATGGTCCCCATTTAAATTAAAAAGGATCCTTTACAAAATATATAAAAGCTGCAGTACACAGAATTAGCATCTTAAAATTTGTGAATCCGTTATATTTTCCCTTAAACTACTGCTTTGACAATTTATCAATTGTAACTCTCCAGAGTGTGTCTGAAGTACAAGTCTGCACAATGTCTGCTGCAGTATGTCCCACCTAATGGTTAGACCTTCAGCAATTCTGAAATAAGTATAAATAATAATGCTAATAATTTGAGGCACAGGATTGTTGTATGTCAGAGCATATGTAGAGTGCGAGCTTACTTGAAGTGTAGTGCATATTCTGAAATGACCTGTGTGGCATAGCAAATTTGTTAGGTTATTATGTTAGTCCTGCTATCAAAGAAAGTGAATTTTTGTGGAGGTGAGTTTTCATTGAGTAGGGAACAGCTTCTTCTAGGCTTTACTAATCAGCACATATCACTAAGCTTAATTTTCCTACCGCTTCCTACAATTAATTACTATGTTTATATAACTCAATAATTAGATTTGGGGCATCTGACTGTCTTTTGGCACTTATCATTAATTTCTATGAGGCTAAGCTGCTTAAGACTGTCCGCATGTGATCATAAATTATGTGGTGAAGGCCAGAGAGAGGAATTTATGCCTCTGTGATCTAATTATTTTTTAGGTAGTCCATGATGCATTTTCCCACTCTTCCCTGTCAGCATCCAAATCCTCAATAAAAAAGAGATTTAGATCTCTGCTTCTGGTGGTTCTAACAGGAAAATTACCTGCAGTGAATAATAAATGTTTCATATTTGCAAATACTTGCTTGCCACTCCACCTTTTTTCTCAAACAGGTAGCCATATAATCTGTTGTCACTAATATGGAAGCAGACCTGAGTGCAACTTTCTGAACACCTTTTAATTGTAGATCTCTAGATGTATCTAAAGACTTTGCAGATTTTTATTATTATCTCCGCAACAGAATATTTCTGTGCTATTAATATGGTCAATTTTTTTTTTCATTATAAAGAGGGGTAGTTCAAGATAAGAAACAACAGGTTGCCAACATTCCAGAATTTTTTTTTCCAAACTTCTTTTTGTCTACAGAGATTAAAATTAATCCTGTGGAAATTTTCAAATACAGTTAAGGAATGGCTTGTCAAAAATTACTTATTCATCTAATGATAGATTCAAATATCTTAGGGGATTTTAGAAAATGCCTGAGCAAGTTGGAACTAGTGAAGTTTGAGCATCTGTTTACCTTATATTTAAAATTCTGTGAGATGCTGATGCAAAATTGTAAGAGAATTTTTTACAGATAGACATAAAATGCTTTAGACCCAACCTCGTTTTCAAAAGTCCCTTCGTGACACTTAATTTTTTAAATTAGAAAAAAGCCACCTACCCTAGTATTTAAAACACTGAATATAAATATGCAGAGAAGTATTTATGAAGATTTAAAGTTGGGAAAGAAACAAGGCTTGCAGGGAGAAGTTGCTAATACCATCAGAAAAGAGAAAAATTTTCCAGTCTTTTCATCATCTCTCCTTAGTGTGTCTGACAGCCTGTTTGCCTTTTCCAGGGGTATCAAGAAGTCTATTAAAATGTATTGCTTCCCTGAGAAAACCTTGTATTTCAACATGAATATCAACCTGTTAGTTATTAAAAAAAGAGACTTTAAAGAATGTCCCCTACTTTGTACTTAAAGAAAAAGCTAAAGCGTGAGAAAACATAACAAGGGCTCACCTTGGGATTATGTGCAGTGACAGGAACAGTAAGTACTTCTTAAAGAAGAGCTACATCTTCCGAAGACCTAACTCTTCTCTGTCTGAAAGAGAGATCAGAAGAGCCTCAGAGTAGCATAGTAGCAAAACCAAGCCCCAATTATTATTCTGTAGAGACAGAAACTGCAACTCTTCACTGTTCATGGTAAAGACAGCCAAAGTCCCTTGGGTTTTATGAGAATGTTATTTGATATCCTCCAGCAACCCTGTGTCTAGAGACTGTTTATCAATCCAAACAGTACTAAGTGCTGTACTTAACTATTAGGCTTAGATCTCTACGTATTCAGGCCAAACTGACATTTGTACTGTATAATATTCTGAAATCCCAGGTCAGTGTTCTCATGAGAAGTATGATTGACCAGACTGAGGCCAAAGGACTTCAAATTCAGTGCGACTTTACCTTAGTTTAATCAAAGCTGCAGTGGTGGACATGACACACTGGACTCAAGACCCATACCAATATTTTACTTTCCCACTGTGCAATTTTTGTAAGCAAAAGATGAGTACCTGCAATGACTTCTCAGCAAAATCCATGCATAAGGCAGTGAGCTCCCTCAGTTCTATAAATCACCTCTTGAGACACCTGTATTTCTACTTTAATGCAGAGGAAACAGAGGGAGACTAAGTTCCTGACTTAACTGCCTCATCTGAATACCAAAAGCTAGGCTGATATTGTTCGTGTTACTGTCAATTTGAATGGAAATGCGAGAGGTTAATTTGGTGAAGGAATGGGAATATACCTCCTGAGCTGGCTCTGTAAGAGTGTTTTAGGTCTTCTTACAGGAGCTAATAGCTTGTTGTAGCTCTTGTTTGAATTTGTAAACTCTTCAGACCCTACTCACTCTGGCTTAAAGGTCTGTTTGTACCAGGTTTTGAATATTTTGTCTTATTATCCTGAAGGACAGTTTGCTAGTTATGTCATTTTAATAAATTGCACATGCTCAGCTATATTTTTACCTTATGTTCCTCTGCTTTTGAGGGCTTAGCTGGAGAGTGAGAGCTGCCAAAATTGCAACTGTGCAGTATTTCCTGGCCTGGCAAGTTTGACATTTCTCCCTCGCTGACAATGCCATGAATAGCTTAATGATAATGTGGTTGTAGCTTTTTAAGCCTTTCTCACACCTGTCCTCGTTTGTCTGCAGAGATTCCATGTTCTCTTTTAAATGACTAAAATGGAAGCATTTCCAAAATAGCAGAAGGAAAACATGCCCACAAAAACTCCTTTCCTTTATACTGGTAAGGTACAGGCCAATTAAAAGTAGCTTTTGTTGGAATTGGTCAAAACCCTTTACACAGGGGAAAAGAATCTTAATATGTAGTCCGGAGCTGAAATTAGGCCCAAGTTAGCCTAAAAGCTACTGGAAACCCAAAATCTGGTGGCTTAGATATCATCCCTTCTCTCCCACAGGGAAGACACTGTCAAAGCCATACAGTTCAATCCTATAGTTGAAGTGCCAGAGCTCTGTGACATGTACTTGCCTCCTAAGAAATTTACTTGAACGCATAAATATTTTGCCACATGTGAACACTTTTTCCACTTTCTGAACGTAGTGAGATAGAACATTGTGGCTTAGCATTTAAATACCAAAGTTACAAGTTGATAGCCTATAAACAGTTATAATTTGAGAAGGAGTTGGGGCCACATCTGTCCTTCTTTATTGTCCCATTCCTGTGCAGGAATTGTCCCATTGAGTGCAGGAATACATCTACAAGTCTCCAGAGTGCCTTGAAGAAAGGAGCAGGTACCTCCTGCGGAGAGCTCTGCACCTCACATAATATGGTAGTAATTAAATTACTGCTAATTGAGTTTAGTAATCCAAAGGCTCAAACACTAACCAGATAAAACAGGAAATACAAAAAAAGGGAAATGCCTTTTCTGTAACTTTTATGTTTTTTTATCTCATAATTGCCTAACCTGCACCAAGAGTTGCTTTTTGTCACATCTCCTATCTCATTTGAGTTTGTTATTCTTGGATTTCTTTTCCCTGGGGGCAGTTTTGTAGTTGCTGTTTGCTTACAGGATTGGAAATAAAAATAATTCACTGGCTGTCATAAAAAAAATTTACCTGAGAGAAAACAATAACACCACTGAGATGACTGCGCAATTACATTTCTTGGCCAATATGTGTTTTTTACTGATTGCTTTTATTTTCACAGTTCCTCTCTCACAGCCCTTGACAGCCTCTAATTCCAGAGGATAAATTCCCTCTTGCTCCAAAGCAGGATAAACCAGTTAAACTGATAAAGACAGTTGTATTAGTATGTATTATTGTATTAATATGATAGAATAGAGACAAACCAACAATCAATAATGGTAATAATCTGTCATTATTAAAAATGGCAACAAAATGGATATTTTGCATTTGTTCCTCCAAGTCTTGAAACCATGAATCAGGATGTTTAAAAGCAAGCAACTGAACTTAGTTTGTATGGGGCACATTTTAATGACATCTGGGAAAGTAATCTTAGTATTAGTTTTGTTGCTTTACATATTTTTAAAAGCTCCTGTTGGTCTTAATTGTGCTGGTTAACAATTTTCCTCTTCTGGCCTTGTCTCAATTTTCTACAAGTTCTACCTCTTGATTTATGTGTGTTATTGTCAATTCTACCATTTTTGTAATTTATTACGTATTCTTTTCTTATTATTTCATGGATTCTTTCATCTCTGTAGTGAATCTTTAAAAATTAGTAGATCTTCCTGATTATTATTTTGTAGCACTTGGAAAAGTAATAACATTATAACCTGCTCTCACTCATGCTTTTCTGTTAAAATCACACCAACAATCTGTTTTGTAATTGTTTCTAGTTTTCTGGAATTGGTTCTTTAAAAGCATTGTGGTTTAGACTATTTTGCTTGAACATAAGAAATGTAGTAGGATGATTGGTTTTACCTCAACTATCACAGTTTTTTCTCTCTAGGAGGAATTAGTCCTTATCTCTCAAGGTAGAGTTTAATATAGATTTCCAAGCACATTGAATGCAACCCTTTTGACTTAGGAAATTATCTTCTGGACTAGCATCAGTCTTTTAAGGTACACATTTCATACTGTAGCCCTGCCTGTTAACACAACATTTTTCTCTAGATAGAAACTATAAATTGATATTAAAGATGCAGGCATCCTTTACTTTTTCTGGTTTTATGGTCTGTAAAAGTGTCATTTATATCCTATCTCATGCTTTATGTGTTATCATACTGAGCGTTCAAGTTCAGTTTAATATTACTTTTCAGTGAAACAGAGAAAGGTAATTTTATTTTTTTTACACAGTTTTCTCAAATGCAAGTAACATTTTGGAAATCTCTAGTTTCTGCTTATGAAATGGATACAGATTATATCCCTGTGGTTGTTCTATAATGTAACATCTTTCTCATATAAGATATTTTTCCATAATGCCTTCTGTACTTGAGGATGAGAAACAGTAGCTTATATCTAATAAATGTCAGGTAAAAGATGTGCCAAATTTTCAATGGCAAACTGCAGTGAAGCACAGAGTCTAAAAACTGCAATGTATTTTTTGGATTCACAGGCTAGCAAGGACTGTTTCATTTCCACCAAAAATGTTACCGTAAAAGGCCTGGTACCTCTTTAGCTTGAACCAGGTACTAATTTTGCTCACTTATCCTCAGATTCCTCAGACTTTTTTTTATTTACAGTGCCTTTGGAATTAGGAAATTTAAACTCTGTGAACTCTCTCATTATACCTTGCTGAAACAAAACCAGTATGGACAATAAATATTAGTTCAGTTATTTATGGAGAAAATAAGAATTCATGTCCTCCTCAAAAATCACTTACATAGCCAAGAAATGGTGCCATCTCCCAATGCAGTAAATATATTTGAAGCTCAGGAATGTGTATTATTGACTTCTCTCCATAGCAAAGCAGCATGGTTTACATATGGGAACACAGTTGGTGCCGGTTACTCCACAGGCCAGTAAAGAATGGGGATGGATTTCAGGGTTGCCAGAAGGATATTTGAGGCCTTTTTGAGGATCTGTCTGAATAGTGCTACTCTGAGGGTAGCCCTTTATTTTTTTTTTTTCCCTCCCCTCTGCACATTGTCATTTAAAAATGCATCCTGGTCTGAAAATAACAGATCTTGTTTTTGCAAATTTGGACACTTTTTTTTTTTCTCAGTCGGTGCTGTTTGGTATTATCACATCCCCACTGGTTTTATTCTTTGCAGTAGACATTTTTAAAACGTAACTTAAAAATAAAATCTCCTGGCTGCAGCAGGGGAGGGATTATCACACATTAATTTGATATGCTTGCTCTGAGTGATTTTGTTGTTTTATTGCTTTTCACAACAGTTTAAAATTTCAGTATTCATAGCCCATTTTAGAAATTATCATCAGAGGATATTAGTCTTACCCATGAAGGACAGATGATATACATTTTTACAGCTCATTTAGGCTCCTAGATTTACCCTGAACACATACACGAAGTCTGCTTGAAATATTGGCCTCCTACACAGCTACATTCAAATTACTGGGTAGGTGGTCCCACTGGGGTTCCTATTTTGTACCCTGTAACTATCAAGATTCAGTGTGCCAGTGAGGATCCTAATGATAGCTAAGAGTCCCGAAACTTTCGGTTTTCATGGCAACCACACAGTGTGTTGTACAATAACTACTGCTTTGTCACTTGTTTCAAGTTCAGCTTTGAAAACAGTTGGCAGTGGAAAAGCATCTTTTTATGTCTTCTTTCTGCAGAACCTGATATTTTTGCCTGATGTGATTTGTTAGTGCACAAGATACATCTCTTTCCACGAAGTTAATTGGCAGGGGGCTTTTAGTGATATTAGTGGCTAAGTGATTAGCTTGCTCTTCATGTTAATGAGAGTTTCTTTCAGGGGAACACTGATACGATCCTCAGCTTGCATACTCTTCACCTTGGAGGTTTCAGCTGTAGCTCATGAAGGTTATAGTCAGAGGTGAGGAAAGGTGTAATGTCAGCAAGAAAAACACCCATTAACTGCAGATATCCAATTAGATATCAGCTGGATGGGGCTGAACACAGCCATTTGTGGGGGGATACTAGGGAGGAGAAGAGGCCTTTCACAAATACTCCTCTCAGAGGTCTGTTGTCTCTCCTAATTGCTCTGGACCACTGTCCCAGAATGGTGCTGAGGCAGGAGCTTTTGATACTGATGCCAAAAAAACAGAGTCTGGGCTCCCTGACTGTTATCCCACAAATAGTGGTAATTTATACACAGATCTGTTTAAAATATCTAACTTCACCTGCTACTCCAAATGGCAATAAGATCTGAGCTTCTGCCTTCTGAAAGCCATGAAAATGACCCAAAAACTTGTAATGGGCTTCAGATCAGACCCAAGATATTCATTTTTGCAACAATATTGAGATAAGCACACAAATGCATGCTGAGTTTTAACAACTGAATATGCTCCATCTGAATAGCGATGTTATCCTGAATCAGGGTATGGCTAATTGTTATGGTACTTCTATTAATAAGCAGCAGTGTGCTGCAGGTGTGGCTGTGCATTGGGAGTTGGTAGAGGGGTGCGTAGAAGTCCTTAAGTTTTGTAAATGGACTGATAGGGGAACTTTCTGAATGAATGGCTTTCTCAGATGTGACAGTAACAGAAGCAGTTTCAGAAGGGTGACCTACTCGAGGGTGGACCTCAGTATAGTGGAATTTTTTCTTGAGAATTGTGATGATAAAGGAGTTAGATCTATTACTTTTTTTCTTATTTTTTTCTATGCACAACTGTAGCTGACTTATTCATCAGGCAGCATCTGGTTCATTTCTCTGTCTTTATGGTACCCTAAAAATCTCTAAATGATTAAGGAGAAGTGGTTGTTATAACCCCTTTGATGTGGGTGAGGAATTTAAGACCAGGGAAAAGCAGTTAGATCATCTAAATTGACCTTCTGGGTATCATATGTATGTTGCATTTTACTCAGATGCCACTGTGTAAAACCCAAATATTTAAATTATATTATTGAGTTTTCAAGGTATGGAACAGTGTGCCATATACAGGAAGCAGGTAGACTAACCTTACTGCTATTTCTGGTAATCAGGTGAAATTTGTTGTGGTAGTCATGAAACATGTTCCTCTGTCCCCTGCTTTGAAGGGATATATTGTTACAAAAACCTCACAGAACAACCAACCAATATCCAAAAGCCCCAATGATTGATATAATCCTGAGCTGGTCAACAAACTAGACATCAAGAGAGCAACTCTTTCATACTCCCTTGTAGCAGGCGTTCGTCCCTTGTGGTGTCTCAGCTCCGGTTGTGGCAAAGCACTGACTACCAGAAAAAAATGTAAAGAGAAAAAATTCTGGAATAGCAACTCCCTTACGCAGTGCCTCTGCATCAGAATATGCTCTTGGCCTGCTGCTAGCTGTCCTGCCATGGTGCAGATATACCTGACTTAGTACCACCAACCAGCAGCACCTCCAACAAGAAATTCTTTCTCAGTAAGAGCTCAGTTACTGCTCCATCCACCTTTAAAGCAGGCTGCAAGTTCTAGTGGTAACTAACTCTTGTAGCTGCCTTTAAATGTCTGCCCTTTTGCTTCCTGCACTTGATCTGACCTACACAATTTCTTTTGTTTTGCTAAAAATAGGTAGTCTAAAGCTTTCAGCAAAATGAAGTGACCTGTTCAGAGACAAACTGCAATGTTAAAGAGTGCATTTGCCTTTTAGCAAACATAATATGCATCAAATCAATTATCTCAACAAAGGCTAAATAGCATTTTACTGTGCTGACCAGGGAGCTCCAAGCTTCTGTTGTCTCACACAGTATGTTGTTGTTTTGAGAACGGTTTTCTTCATAAAAGAAAACAGGACTGATTAGGAGCTGTTTGGAATTAAAATACTCCGCCAGGCTGGTGTTTTGGATGTCAAGTACAGTGATGGAACAAGAGCAATTGGAACAGGAAAAGTAATTTTCATTTTCAGTGTCTAAACTGAGCGATTAGGAAAGAATTAGGACGGCATGGACATAACCAAGAAATGTCAATAGGTAACAAATGTAAAGTAAGTCACTGTAACACTGTAATTTGGGCTGGTCTTTATGTGTGCTTGCTCTCTCCCTAGCTCCTTCGTCCATAATTTGCAGATAATTGATGGAATTAAGAGACATAGACAGATCTTAGAAGAATATGAAGATCTATGAAAAATATGAAAAATGTGAAATCCTCCAGTCTCAAGATTTAGAGTTTCATGATGAAATAGTCAAAGTATCGGTGTGATTCAGGAAGCCAGGTCCCATTCGCCAGTGGGGTACACAAACACAAGGCATAAGTTGCAGGGTGGACTAAACGTAGATCCAGATGCACATTTTCAGTCTGGAATGTCAGACCTGCCACTGTCTCAAGTGTTGCACCACATTCCTGTTTTATTCACTCTTTATTCACACCTATAAACAGGGGGGACTTTCAATGCCATTCAGTTCCTCATGCTGTCTTATCTAAGTTTAAAACAGCCACGGATATAGTTGTTTAATTGCATTTTGGGGAGCTTGGTCCTGGGATTATGGCTAAGCATGAAGTAGATTTTCCCATTCGCTAGAGCAGTGTCTTGGTCAGTTTCCCAATAAATTTCCAGATAAGAAGTAAGAGTCATATTTTCTTTGGAAGTCTTCCTTGCTGGCCCTATGGATTGCATCTCTTGCTGTGATCTAAGAGACAGTAACACCCTGCTCAGTTTTCTTAAAGCATCGACACAAACCCTGGTGGAACTTCTAAAAGCTCTGACTGGGGAGGAGTCAGACTTCTGCTCCCCTTGCCTGCTGTCTCGGGAAAATAGGTACCCTGTCTCCAGGGACTGGGTTGCCCAGAAGGGGCCACTTCCTGGGTATCCATGTCTGTTATTGATTGTTGCATATTTTGTTTTGCATTTTCATTTGCTTTGCATTTGTCTTTCTGGTATACAGTCATTACCATCAACATTGACTTAAAATCAATTCCCTGACGTTGACAATGGCCATAATTGATTTTCAAAAAGCAATTATCTTTGTTGTGGAAAAAGTCCAGATAAAATTCACGTTAAACTATACTGAAACCTCTAAGCCAAACCATTGGAAGTCTGAGTGTTTTAGCAAGATCAACACTCCAGTTTTAAGTGTATGTCACTGCAAGATAAAAGGCACTTTTGCAGAGCCGTGAAGTAGAAAATGAAAGCACAGCAATTAATTTTAGAAGTTTGATGTGTTATGTTGGGAATACACAGATTCACATGTGATTGGATCCTTCCATGTACAGTGAAATGTCACCTTTCTATAGAACTGAACACACTTCAAGAAGGGCAGGTGAATTTTAAATCAATTAGTTTTTCCTCCACTCTGCATTTGCAGGCAGGCTTTGAGGCAGAAATAACAATGTGTGCAAAGTGCTGATACCTAGTGTTATGGAATCATGTTTTTACACTTCTCTGAGTCCTAAATATTCCCCTTTCATTGTTAAAGACCAACTGGTTTAGATTCTATATCTTTCCTGAATCCTCAATTGAATGAAAATATTAGCTCTTGAAAGTGATACTATTTCTAAATACTGCTTCTCTAAACATGATAATCAATACAACATCATGGGCGCAGCAAGGACTCTTTGACTGAATATTGCCATGTCAGGTGCTCATTAATCTGAGGCTGTGTTTATTCAAATGCTCGTGACAGACCCAAGTTTCATCATGTAGTTAGGCCCAGTAGCACAGAACTCATGATCAGATTTGTTTAAAATAAGCATACAACCAATATATAGCTCAGCCCCACATTACCATACATGCAAATGGCTTATACATATAGTTTTTAAGAAAGTTTCAAAGTTGACAAGTCTGTGTGGAGAGACTCAGCACAGTTTCCTCACTGCTGCCTGGCTTCCTTGAAAAAATCCCAGCCTTTATCCCCTTTTCATTCCAAGGAGTAATTGTACCATGCTCATCATTTGAAATGTGTTCCAGTGTCGTGATCAGCTTCAAACATAGCGTGAGCAGCGAAAAACATTGTAACTCAATAGCTTTATCTCACATTTTCATTATGTTTCAAAATTTCAAAATAACATATCCAGTCCATACCCAACATACCCAGATATTTTCAGTTAAGAATAAATTAGTTTTAAAAGATGGTTGTACCTGGGTGGCATTTAGAATAAGGCATATTTTGGAACTGTATGTTTTTGTGCAGAAGTAACCTTTGAAATTTATCCCAATGAAAATGGAAAATACTTGTGGGAGAACTTGTATATAAAGATCTTAGAACCTTAAAACTTCCCTTAGCTCATTTCTGAGTAGAGTGTCCAGCGCAGTTACAAAATAAAAATGTGTAGTTCCCACTCTTCCTTGAATACAAATTTCCGTATAATTGCCAGCTGAATTAACAGAAATGTCTTAAAGTCAATGCAAAGAAGCAAAGAAAACAAATTTATAGGATGTTAGTCTTACAACTAATGAATTACTTTCTTTTTTTTTTTGGTCATTAATAAATAGGTATCTGCATTACTGTAAAGGTTTTGGTGAGTTTATGATCAATGTGCATTTATTTTAGAATGTCAAGATCAGGTTAACCTCAAGATGGTGCTAGATGGTTGTTGGCTGTCACAACAACTATTGTTTGTCATTTAAATGTTTGCAGAATGAAAAAGCATTGATAGCATGTAATTGGTTAATAACCAATAAAAAAGGATAAAGCTTCATATTAAAGTGCATCACTTTTATAGATTAATATGTTTACCTACCTGAGCTAGACATGAATTGATTTGAAAAAATATTGATTATGTGAATGTCTCAGAATAAAACAGTGCTTGGAAAGAAACAGAGCATATATAAAAGTTATCGGAACAGCAATGACAGGAGATACACAATATGCAGTTTGACAGCTTACCTAGTTGTTAGAACCAGACAGTCTGGCAGTAATGGGAGTGTCGTTCTGGCAAGTTAAAGTAATTGAAACCTGGCAGATAAATAGTAAATAGTTAAAATTCTTGAAGAACTTAAAGAACTACTAACCATTTGATTCAAAACTAATAATACATAGAACTACTGTAATTACTCAAAATCAAGCAGCTTTATGCTAGAAGACGGTTATCCAGGGCATGGCTCTATTATTTAAGCTGTAACAGTGCTATGGAAGTGGTAAAACCCTGCTAGTGCAGAGGACACTATAATGTAGCAGTGTACCCGTTCTTCCATCAGCAGGGAAATGAGCTGCACTGATGCATCAGTACCATTGTTCTGGCAACTTTCTTAGCACAAGCAGTTATATAGGTGATGTAACTGCAGAATAGAAAATGCAGGCTGCTGTTGAGGTTTTTCCCTTCAGTTATGGCACCAGGTCTGATTTTCTAGCAGAGATAAACAGTGGCCAGATGACCAGAAATTCATCTTACAGCTTCGTTCCTTGTGAATCAGTTCAGGGAAAGATTTTCAAAGGAGCCTGTGACAATGTTGTTAAGGTTTACAGCAAAAAGATTGTGCTAAGTGTGTATAAACTGCTCAATGTGGTGGTCAGTAAAGCAGACCTACTCACTTTGAAAAAAATATTTTCCTGAAATGAGATGTGTGTCTGCCTGAAGATCCTGGTTCCTCAGCATGTCTCATGTGATCAGTGGTGTTGGAAAGCAGGGAAATCTCTTCCCTGCACCAGGGAATTTTGTTGTTCTGTTTACTTTCTTTTCTTTTGTCTTTTCTAATGCTTGCTTTTTTGGCAACAAGATTTAATCTTTTAGAAAAGCTGCAAAATAGGAAGAATTTATGTGTCAAGTTTATTTTGCACCAGAAGGGCCTCAAAAAGATGGCTGTTTAATATATAATCTTATAAATGAATCAGCAAAATAATATGGAGACCTGATGCTGTGCAGTGACAGAAGGCTTTTTATTAAATTTTATTTTATTTTGAATTTTGAATTTATCAGTTTCACAGACATTTGTCTTGATATCTTCCAAAGTTTTTGTAATTGCTTAATGCAAGCAATTACTAATGAGAAGGCGAAATCAGCCAAGACAACATTACAGAAATGTGAAAAACTCTGGCATTGAAAAGGGCTGCTTGATCTCCTGAAATAATTGGAAATTTGCCACCATTCCTTTGTAACCTTAAAAAAGAAGGTTTTACAGTTCTCCTCATTTGTAAACCTGGAATGATATAAATGAACACACTCCTGCCTATGCTGCTCAAAGTCTTCGTTTCTTTATTGTTTATATAATGCATTTCTTGGAGAGAAAGAATGTGCTCTATGTAGTTGTTTGGCCTGACAAAGCAGGGCAATAGAAAATAGACTCTCTGTCCTACCCACAGATTTCTATCAGACAAAAATAAAAGTATAAATAGTCTAGGAGACAGTGTCCTCTTAAATGATGATTCTAAGGTTAGTGGGGCTTTTTGAGAAGATTTTTTTGGTCTAGACAGTTAGAAAGGAACTGGAAGTTGATTTAAGGTTTTATTTTAGAGAATGTAATTCTACATCACTCATATTCAGTATTTAAGCAGAAGGGTATTTCATGTGTAATTTTAGAAAGTTGTTCAGAAGGAAATATCATAATGGTCATCCCAGCTATCCAAAAATATTTTTTAACAAGTATTTAAAAAAGAAAATAAATGACATTTTTTAGAACACCGAGGAAATCAACATGCTATGCTTTTTTTCATTAGATTAAATTCCAAAGTGACATTCCAGCTGACAGAAAGAGAGACCCGTTAATAAAATTCATGCTTACATGGTTCAGGATTAATCAAGGGGAGAGCTAGGGTAAGGGTGTTTAGCTAAAAGTCATTTTAAGTCACAAGTACATAAGGATAGATGATTAATTATGTTGTCCACTTTGGGCAATGACTGTGCAGGACAAATTGCATTTGAACTTGGCTATAAAAGAGTTTAAAACCCAAAAGTACTGAGTGACAATAAAAAAAAATACAATATTTGCTTCCTCTCAAAGCTTTGTGTATTGGTACAGGGAAATGATTCCCTTTAGCTTCATAGAGGAATTTAGGAGAAAGTTATCTATAGATATTGATCCTGACACGTGATTCTTCCAGTGACAGTCTCAGAAGTGCAGCTTGCTGAAATGTAGAGGCTGAGTGTTTCCACTGACCTCTGCCACACACAGATCAGAGTCAGCATCTGGATCTCCATATGGAGGATAAAACTTTTTGTATTACAAAAAAGCTTTCCAACAACTATTTTGGCAGGGACAATCATAAAGAGAATATTTGAGCATCTTATTACACTGTTAATATATTCCCATCAGGAAGTTAAACTAATTAACTTCTCTCTTATGCATACCTTGGTGATATTTTTACATTTCCCAGGGCACATAACCAGTCACAAGAAAAGGAAAATGTCACCTTCCAATAGTCACTCCATAGCAGGTGATGGAGGACATTCTTAAAGAAAAATATTTTGTGTGCTGTTAAGTTTCTTGATGAGGTAGAACAAGAGATCATGGTCCCACCCGACATCTTTGCTTCAACTGTATGTGTATCACTTCTTTGTCTACTTTTTAGAATTTTTACATCTTTGTACTCTTCATATGAGTTGCCTGTTCTGCTTGTGTTGTCTGATTGCTAGAAAAAAAAAAAATCGGAAAGTATTATTTCAGCATTGAGAGATATGGAGTTACTGGAGATTCCAGCTCTGAGATGATTAGGGGACTGGAGCACCTCACATATGTGTAAATGTTGAGAGGACTGGGACTGCCCAGCCTTGAGAATAGAAGGCTTGGAGCGGGTCTCATCAGCATGTACAAATACCTGAAGGGAGAATGTGAAGAAGACAGAGCCACGCTCTTTTCAGTGGTGTTCAGTGACAGGAACAGAGGAAATGGTACAAACTGAAAACCAGAAATTTCTTCTGAACATCAAGAAACACTTTTGTACTGTGAGGGCATGACCAGTTGTTGGCATGGGTTGCCCAGAGAGCTTGTGGAGTCTCCATACTTGGAGAGATACAAAACCTGTTTGGACATGGTCCTGGACAGCCAGCTTTAGGTGACCCTGCCTGAGCAGGAGGGTTGGACAAGACGACCTCCAGTGGGTCCTTTCCAACCTCAAGCATGCTGTGATTCTGTGAGCCTGTAACGTTGCTGTTCAGTGTTTCTGATGTCATCTGTGATTGTAAAATGATGTGGGATCTCTTTTGCCTTGAACTAAACCTCCTAACCGACTTACCTTCTCTTTTGCTAGGGTTTCGTCTCTTCAATCTATTTGTGAAAACAAGGCCTAAGAAAAGCATCCTTTGGAAGAAAACAGATTTCAGCAATGAGCATTGGTCAAGTATAGCAGGACATAATTTAGGTGAGTAATGAATGACAAAACACAATACCAATGTCTGTATGCAAATTTATCCTCTGATGGTTGTCAACATATTGTGAAAACTAACAGTAACAGAGAAGGACAAGGACCATAGTCTGCATCTGCCTAGTGCTTCTAAATGACATGGTTTTTAGTGAATTGGAATCTAAAATGGCTTGTGTGTCAGTCAAGGTCATTTCTTTTTTTTTGAGCTTGTTGATACAAACAATGAAGCTACTGTATTAAATGCAATTCAGCATAATATCCCTAATTTAAGATGTAGACAATTATGATGGATTAACCAGAGATAATAGTTGTGAACCTGATTCTTTATTACCTGGATCAGCGATGCTGGAAGAATAAATGGAAAACATAAATGAAATACTCTGTTGCTGGGCAGTTGAAGAACACACTAAATCACCTGGCTAACCAAGAATGAAGATTATGTTTTTGAACTGACAGAAAAAATCATGGTTAAGGTCACTGTAGATTTATTATCCCAAGGAACATTATAATAAACTGGGTTGTCTTTATATTATAACTAGATCAAAGAAGCCTCAATCTTCAGATGATTCTCTGTTGCAGGCACATGAATTTGTACCAGTATTAATTAGATGACCATGTCATCTGATCAAATTGATGGAAATTTATTGAACTGGATGAACTATATGTTTTCAAAAAAAGACAGTGAAGATATTGGCAGTACTCCATTGTCTGGCTCTTAGGAAATTCCACAGTTGGGTAACTTTGTGTTCCAAAGCCAGGGTGAGCACAGGGGTTGAATTTAGTTTGGTTTGGAGTTTTTTGGTGGTTTTTTTCCCCAAAGCAAGTGTTATGAGAGGAAAGGAATTCTGGATGGTTTACATATAATGTTGCACCTTTTGTTTTAAAATCTCTAGACTACTCCATGGATAGCAAATGCAATGAACTTTAACGTGTATTTCTGAAAAAAATAGAAATGTATTCTGAAAATATTTAAAACCATTATTCAAGTATCTATAATGGTAAAAATGCACTTTCATCAAAATCCATATTTAAATGTAAGTTCAATTCCTGTGAAGACACCATTGTTACTGAAAAAATCTGGATGAAAAACATGCTGTGAGTCCTGTTCAAAATAACATGTCCCCCTAAATGTTATCTTCCTGTGGGAGTCAGGCGCTTTGGAAAACATAAGCCCAGATTTATCCCGTGTATCTTTAACAGTTTCACTGACTTTGCTGGTGTGGCCAACGCTGGAAGATAAGCAGCTCCAAGGAGGCTGCATCCCATGTGGCAATGCCTTTTCTCTCCATTGATAATAGTGCCAAGGTATTTAGGCCTCCAGTGCTTAGAAGATAGAAACCAGAGGTAACTTGGTAAAAGAGTGAAGGACCTATGGTTTATTCCTGCTGGTAACCCTAACAAAGACTGTTATGACTCTTTGCCATTATAAATGAGACCATTTTTGTGAAGTGTAAATGGATCTTCTCTTAGCCAAGTATCTTGCTCTGGTCTGTCTGAGGAGACTAATTGCAGTGCAATTCAAGCTGGTCAGTTAATTTACACCATAAAATTGTGTCTTAAAAATGAAACTGAAAGCCTCTGGTTCAGCTTCTTCTCTGGGGATCCCAGTGCAGCTATAGAAACAATACAGAAGAAAAGGATTTCATACCAAATCCTTATTTTCTGTCAGCAAATGCATTCAGAATGATGGGGTAGTAATTCCAGACAGATTGAGGAGCTTCATGGATGTTTTGAAGGTATATATATTGCCCACAGATTTTCAACTCAGTGAATTTGAGTGTGTAATAGCCTGTGATGAAGCGTGCAGGCCTATCAGTGCCCCTGGAGAGGACTCTGAAGCCATTTCACACTCTGTGCTGAGAAGGGTCTATTAAAAAGAGATCCTGCCAAGCCAAGTCCCCAGGAGTTAAATTCCCAGCCAGGGTTTGAAGCTATTCAGGGAGTTACTAACAATGGAAACATCATTATCTGCAGCCAAACTCATTTACATTCTGTATTTTGAAAGAAGGGAATTGGGATTAGTTAGGAGAGGACTGTTCTTCCTCCCAGCCAAAGTGGTGAGCCCTGGGGTAATCAGGTGTTACCCGAGAGACGTTTTGATTTCTTGTTCTCATGTTTGATTGTCAGCCTACATGGATGACATGCAGTTACAAATGAAGCTTTGACAGTCTTACATGCATCTTGTTTAGATTTTAATGATTTAATAGCCATAGTTGTAAAATCAACATACTAGAATTTGTGTGTTTTTCTGCTGGACACCGAGGGGTAGCATGCATGGTATCTCTGGGGAGGACAGTTCACTTGATGCAAGGTTAGTTCCTTAGCACCAGCCATACTCTCTGATTTTGTTCGGGTCTTGTGTGTGATTCTCTCAATTTTCTATTAAATAAGTATAGGGATTTTGATTGTCTCTAAATTATCATAAGGTATAAATCAGTCAACATCAAGAAGATAAATGGTCAAATTAGAAGTATGTCAACAGTTTGGATGCTCAAACAATCTAGTAACATGCTGTAGCAGCCAGAGAAACCATAGCCAGCAATATTTCTAGAACCAAGCCTACAAATGTTTCCAAAAGATATGACCTACTTTGAGTGGAGGTTATTGGGCTTAAAGCAGCCTGAATGGGTTCAATTTTGTGGCTTATATTAAGCTCAAAGCCACAGTAGATGGCAATAATGGTCCCCTGAAGGCTTGCAGTAGGACCTACAGAAGATGGTTTAATTTTCTGCTTTGTAAAGTGAAAACCACCTTTTACTGTCCAGTGTGCCTTTCTCACAGAAGTGAGTTTTGCTTCCTCCCCATCTATTGTCAAAAGACGGTTTCATTTTCTACAGGAACACTGCTTGTTCAAAGCACTAATCTGAGAACCAGTGGCCCCGTTAAGTTCTTGTTGATATGCGCTTCTCTGCTACGACTAGAAACAAAGTGTTGGCCCTGGCAAATATTATCTCAGCTCCTGCAGTGGCCAGTACTGTTCTGTCTGTCTCTGATGGCCTGGGGTGCCCGAACTATTTCAAATATCATCCACAGTGAGCTAATATTACCAAAGAGATTTCAAATACTAGCCAGCCTTTGCTGTTCACACCCGAGTAGTTGAAAATATCAGCACCACAGTAGCCTCATAAATTAGCAGCACATTACATCTTTTCATTACAGATGTGGCAATGTCATCCAAGAAAGTTAATGACTCGGGCACCAGGAAATGGTCTTCCAGGTAGCAAATGTTCAGCAGATCACAGTATTCCATTTATAGCACAGAAGATGATCTAAAATGTCACCATTGCTCTGGAGAAAACAAAGTATTGCATCCAAACATGCTGGAGGTTATGTCAGTGAGAAAGGAGCTTCTCTTGCCAGCACAGGTACTTAACATTCATGCTCATCTATCACATTACACGTTGTCTTTAGCAACTCTATGGCTCTATGTAATAATATGTGGTAATTTTCTAATGGTGGATATTGGTAGTCAGGACTAGAACAGTGGGGTTCTTTGATTGTTTCAAGGCACACTACATCTTAATTCTTGCTGCTTCTTTGTGCTATCAGTCTTGTTTAACTGTCTCAGGAACCCGTAAATTGAGATAGAGGGAAAAGAGTTTGTCCAAGATTACTTCCATGGCAAACAGATTGGAGCACCTCAGTTCTCAGTCTGTTGATCTCCTTTTTACAAGGTGAGATGCTGTTTCCAACAAAATGAGATTTGCATGCCTTCACACTGGAGTATCTGTGATCCTATAGCATACTCAGGTGATACTTTTTTATGTTAAAATTTGCTGTAAAATTTCTGGCATAAGCTCTGTGGCATTCTCATGATGTGGACCTAGAGTATGGGGATTGACTAGCTGTTTCACATAGAGACTGGAATAGTATGAAGTAGCCTGAAACAAAGCAGCATATAATGTCAGGGAGTTTTCTTAAGTTCGAGCTTTCTCTGTCATGTTCACTGATGTTTAGCTGCCTAGGAGCAAATTCCAGGTGAGTTCTGGATGTGGATAATATGTATTTTCACTCTTTTGGGTAGTTAACTATGATTTTTAAGATGGTGGTAAAACATCACCTGTTTTAGACTTCCTTCTCTAAAGCAACTCCTTAGTATTTAGACTTAGTGTCCACTTCCACCTAGTTTCACTTCATTACAAGTACATCTCTGGATGTGGCATCAGAAGGCTTTCCAGCTGGAATGGAGGGAGGAGAGGGGAGCTTGTCATGCCAGGTTTGTGTCAGGGGCATAATTCCTGAAGCCTCCAGAGCTGATCTGACTAGTTTGGACCAGAAACACTTGGGACTCATAGACAGCCAGAAGTGGGGCTCTTCCAACCTGCATAAGAACTGTGTTTGCACAAGCAGCTCACTTCATGGCCAAGTTCCAGTCTTTCCAGGACACCTAATAGGTGTCCTGGAAATATGGGCTGCCTGGCCCTTGGATTGCTACCCCAAAATGTTCCCAAAATATTGCATAGAGAGTATTGTCCAGACTGACTTCCCACTTGCTCAGACATTTTTTACAGTCTACATCTCACATTGTTTTCAGTGCCCAGGAACATTCAGAGCTTCAAAACCTGTATGGATAGACTTTTTAAAAAAAGGAGAAGAAAATCACAGAATCACAGAACGGTTAGAGTTGGAAGGGACCTTAGAGATCATTGAGTTCCAACCCCCCTGCCACCGGCAGGGAAACCACCACTAGACCAGGTTGCTCAAAGCCCCATCCAGCCTGGCTTTGAACACTTCCAGGGATGTGGCATCCACAGCTTCCCTGGGCAACCTGTTCCAGTGCTTCACCACCCTTACAGGAAAGAATTTCTTCCTAATATCTAATCTAAATCCCCCCTCTTCCAGTTAAAAACCATTACCCCTTGTCCTGTCACTACACTTCCTGACAAAGAGTCCCTCTCCGGCTCTCCTGTAGCTCCCTTCAGATATTGGAAGGCTG